TATTAATGTTGTAAACGTTCCCCAGTTGATCGAATGTTATGACCGGTAGAACATATCATTGTACTCGAACTTCGATGGCTTTTGCTGGCAGAGTAAAGTTGAATAGCATCATGTTATGGTCACTGCCCGGAAGTCTGTCCAGAATCTTGACATTCCCATCGGGAATTCCCAAAATGAAGACGAAATCTCAAATGTATTCATTTCGTGTTGCCGATGAAACGTGTTGTGACCAGCCTTGTGAGCAAATAGTTGAAACATATTCAAACAGCCTAGTTGGGGATGCATACTTGTGCCATGACACTTGACTTATTGAAGTCCCCTCCGACTAGTTCGTACTTAACCGGATGGTCTGTTTGCCAGATGTCGGACTTCAGTTTTTCCACTGTGTGGGTGACTGTAGATGCACCCTATGAAGAAGCTGGGCTGTTTTATTTCGGCCATTATACAAACAAAACCAAAGAAACTTTTAAGCATTGGCCCAAACAAAGTGAGGTGGGAAATGTTTCATTGATGAGTACCACCCAATATCTCCGGCTATTGCATCGGTTAGTAGTGAAGCTAATATCTCCTGGGATCTGTTAATGTGACTCTCGTGTCTGGTTAGTAAACCACGTTCCGGTAACAAGAACCATTTGATGGTTCGACAAATGTGTAACAGGGCCAAAATTCTGCATTTCGTTGTTTAGGGAACGAACGTTAATAAGAAGTCTGCCTATAGCTGCGTGAATTTTAGCTTGGCCTATGAGCTGACGGAATATGGATAGTGCAAGGGCATTTGAGCCGAAGGGGGTAGTCATATTGGCTGAAGCATCCTATGGTGATCCACTGTTTTCGCAGACAAGCAAGCTAAGAGAGAGACAAAAAAGAGGACATTGCATCAACAGCTCTCCTATCGGCAGCATAACTGCCTCCGGGTTACCTAAAATATCTTGTGGCTCTAGAGGATGTGATACATAGTATGAATTAATGTTCGTAAGATTCGGAAAAGCCAATGATCCGGGGTGGGAGTGTGCATATGTCGCAGGTAGAGTGATAGACTCAGCATATTGTGGCAGACCGATATTCTGATAGGGTACTGGTAATACAGTATGTGCGAACTGCTGCTGTGGAACGACATTTAAGTGCGAGAGACTTCCGTTACGTCTGCTCACAGTCCTCGTGGATACGACTGTAGTTAGGGGCCTAGGAAATACACTTTACTGTTGGCTCAAGTGAGTTCCGATAGTCAGAGCACTTTACTATGTCAATCCTGGAACACAACTCAGTAATTTGAGGGCACACCTTACTTCCTTTCTTTACAAAATATGCTCGGCATGGGATTTTCTAATCTATAGCTGCTATAATCTGCTCGTACATTATCCGAAGTGCCAAGTCACTTTTGACTACCATCTACCTAATTAACCGAAATGCTGTTGGGATGGTCCATATCGACATCTGCGAGCTGGGGTACCGAAACCCATGAGTCAAGGCAATGTGTTGGGACCTGGGTGGACATTTTTTTAACGTTGCATATTTGTCGCTTTCATGTGAAGCACATGATGCAAAGCTGCTGACCGTGATCTTGTACCTTACTTTGATTTTCAGTGAATTTCTGGTGTTTTGAAAAAATGAGGAGGTGTCTTTCTCGCGTGGTTAGACGGTTCAACCCCGAGACTAGCGGTTTATGCCAGCGCTTCAGTCGGACTAATTACCGAACTGATGTTGAGGGGAGCTACTCCATCTCCTTTGACGTCGCATTAGCTACTATTTTTAATCTGGGACTAACTGCACTCCCCGTGCCGCTATTTGTACCATTCAACATGGCGTTCGGAACTAGTGGCTCGATGACTTGTCTATGGCCGCAGTGTCTGACTTCGCCAAGCTTCTCTTTGCAGGAGCGTTTTGTCAATGGATATTCTTATTGTTTTGCTATCTGTACATTTTTTGGGGGAACTCGTTCACCGCCATTGCGTCGTTAAATTGAAAGTGTACGTTCTTTCAGAGTCTTGTACATCTGCACCAAGCGTTTTCCATATTACCTACTTGAGTAGGATCTTTCCAGTGCTTCTACCGTCAGTTTCTAGGGCAAATTGAAAGCCGCTGCGTTTTTATAACATTGCATTTTACAAAACACTTCTGTGTCGACAGTATCAATGTAGACACCGGCGGGTTTTAGATTACCTTTGCCGTTGTCTGCAGTAGACAGCCAGACATTCGAGTATTTTAAATGTTGTCTCCAAGTGGTCAAAAGATGTCAGTCTTATTTTGAGCCCGTCTAGTTTCTCTTAGATGCACTTGAATTTAGTGAATGCCTCGTTCCGGGGGGGGGGGGTTATCTAATCTGTTTACCCGGTCTACTTCGCATTCCAGGTAGATTAGTTGACTTTGGAGATTTTGGTCATTTAGCGGCTACCGCGGTTCTTTGAGAGATCGTATAAGAGCATGTGCGTCTACTTGACATTATGAATGACTGTTATGGAAGGTCGATGGTTATGGAACGATGCCAAAAAATGTTACGTGATCGCTCTTCAGTGCTTAGGTTAAACCAAAATATCCAGAATACTTGTGTATAAACTGGCCATTTTCGTGTTCTCACTGTCAGGTCTGTACCGATGATACCCCCTAACTATGTCCTGATTGGTTGTCCAGATTTGTCCTTGATCTTTTCTGGTCAGGTATGAGCCGTCCATAGATGATGAATACTTATCGATCCGATGGGTGCGAGGGTTGCTTGTGAGCGCAAGCTGTGGGCGTACGCGGACGCAGTCATTGACCCTAGATGAAAGCGAAATCCACAGTGACTGAATGGATGCAAACCTGGTGGCTGCAAAAATGAGCTGTCGCTACGTACGCAACGTCGGATTGTTGTAAGTTTTGGTTCGCTGGAAGGCACGCGAAGCGTGCTCTTGAACCATGGTAACACAGATGTGCACGCAAGAGCCTGAGGGAGATTTGTTTGTGGGCACGACAAAGCTTTTGCCAGAAGTGTAGTAGTGAGGTAAACAGTGATGTAAGGAAGCTAAAGCAGCGATCCTGAATCCGCTGTGTAGAGCTCGTGAATTCGAGTTGAATGAGTGCAAGCACAGCAGTGTGCGCCTAAGTGGGGACAGGAGGACGCGCGATAAGGCACTGCGTTAAACCTTTGCGACCACCAGCCAAGTTGGAATGCCGTATATGGTCCGATGCCATCGGGTCCGGGTGCCTTACCTTGCCAACACCATCTAATACCGGCTGCGCAATCGTAGCATACTATTAATTAACATCCCAGTGTGTTTATGATCTTTAAGTAAACAATAGCATGACAACCGTTCTTTTTTAGCAGTGAGGCTTGTCCTGTATCTGTTGGTCTCTGACACTATCAGATCTCTGACCAGTGTGGCTTACGGAGCATTATTTGTGCCGAGCGACACTAGTGTACGCAGTGACATGGTGAGTATGCCATTACTAAGCAGTGATGATTTTATCTTGTTGTATCAACATGCGCGACTGAAAATGGTCTGTTGGTTTGACAGTTCCTGCTTAGATCCCCCAGCCCCTTTGAAGGGCTTCATTTTACCTACCGTATATCCAACGACGCAGGGTTCGGAAGGGTCAGTCATTGGCTCGGCAAAGCAAAGTGAAGTCGCCGAATACTGGACTGGCGCGTTTACTTTGTCTCGCCATTTATGTTGAGGTTTCCGCTCGAGATATTACAGGGCAGTACTCGTAACCAGCGCCAGTAATGTGCCCGAAATATTCAGCTTGCCAGATTGTTCATTTAATGCATTTGTTTTGCACACACACAAGTCCGAATCTCTATCATCACCACTCCTTATCATTTGCATCCATTGGCCTCATCGACCTGATTAGTTACTTCTTACTGACATGTAATGCCTAATGAACCATTGCGCCAAGCTGCGTTGTCACTAGCCACGCTGTTGGATTAAACGGACGCGTCTCACTTTTGCTTGGTTACTCGTAGGTTTTGAATACTTTCAGAAGATTGCTAATCACCTTCCCATCCCTTTGAACGAAGCACACGAAAACTCGAGTACTGATAGCATCTATACGATTATGTCGTACCTTATCTTTTTGTATTGCGCACAATAGTTTAAGTGTGTTTCCCACCTTCAGCTAACGTGTAGTGATGATGATGTCGTAATTTCATATATTGTAGATATCTGGCCATTCGCAATACGGCACCCCGCGACCGGTTTCGTACTCGCTTTCACTCGTCAGCAGTAGTATGACTGCAATTTAAACTGGAAATGTAGATATCACGGCTTGGCCACGTTACTTTTACGCCACATACGCGTGAATAATACTTAGCACAACGCCATCCGTTGTGTGAAATGATTACTTACGTATTATCAATCTGGACCGCAATTATATTCTTCAACTACTGGCCGAAGTCGGCTTTAACGTTAGTTTTGGTCCAGATTGCGTGTCGCAGCCCGTTCACAAGGTGAGTGCTTCAAGATGACCCCCACTTAATGAGTGCTCAAATTGAACTCAATGGCGTGAAGACCCGAAATACCTAACTTTCGGTGAGAGATCACATTCACATCAGGTTGCACAGATGCTGGGTATTTACAGACTACAGCGAATTAAGTGAAATCATTTATCTTACTTGCACTCCCATTCGCGTATTAATGAATCCACTTACCAACAGCTGTTGCATCGAACGACAATGCGAGACTCAATTATTTTCACCATCTTGTCTTCAGATCTTTGGTCAATGGAGGTTACTATTTCATAGTTCTTTTTGACTGTTCAATCTTTAGCTCTCTCTTACTAACAATAATCAGTTGAATACATGCAAACTGTTTATGTACATTGTTGTAGGAATTTAGTTCCCTGTGTCTCATCAGAATTGATCGGTTACGTAGGCTAGCTGCCTGCCATATATGCTATTCTATACTTATACTTCCAGGAATAAGGTACAACCTTGTCTCATAAATCACTATTCCTTTAATTCATGATCTTCTTGAGCAAAACTCAAGGTACTCTACTGTGCAACCATCTCATTCACTGCCTTTTAGGATGCTGAGCTTACCGGGTCGCCTGTCAGGTATTCATTGACTCCTGATTACAATCATGCTGACCGTGATGTGCTTGCTGCTCAAAACTGGACCCCGTTATCTCCGAACCACAAGGAAAACACTTCTTCCCTTGACAAAATACAGTCGCCGGTTACTCATCATCTACGTGGTTGTGGCATTGCGACTCGTCTATTCGACCAAATTGGAACTGTCTCACCGGTCTGTCTGATAAATACCTTTGCATCCGAAGGAGACAACATCGGAGATGCATTGCACCTCCTACATCGCCTAAGCTTGTGGCTGGATCTCCTACCCGAAGTAGATGCGTCGCGACCGACCCACGAAGTCTGGCATCCTCCCCCATCTTGGTCTATGTTGTACGGAACGAGACTTTCCACTTGTTTGTATTGATGTTTCTTTGTCCTTTTCATATGAGGCCGTGCTTCCTTGCTGAACGCTTTTACTCTTTTGCTCCTTGTCGTGCTTCCAACCCCGGTTTCTTGCACATGTGTTAGTTTCCGCATGTTAAACGGACGGAATGTTTTTGGTCACAATTAGCTCATGAATTGTTGACTATGTGTGATCTAGCATGCAGTTCAATTATGTTTGTACTTGTTCCGTTGTCCATAAAACCTAAAGGGATAACAGTTCGTCTCACATTCTCCCTAATTTTGTCGTCTAAAGTGGCTTCTATTTTGGTGACCACCGGCTTGGTTTTTGAGCTTCCTTGGCACAAGCATTATTATGTTTATCGTTTAAGTGTGAAGCCTGTTCTTCGATCACGCACTCCTTGCGCGTGAGATCCTAGCGTATTTACTTCTGAAGTTGGTTTTATGGACCGGATTTGAATAAGTACTGCCGGATGTATCAGGGCATTTGCCACCTACAGCATTAGATACCCAAAAGAGGACGCACCACCCTGCTTGTCAACTTGATGCTCTTTGCTTGTAATGACCGTCCATTCCACACATCGCAGGACATTTTCCCAAATTATTACTGTTTGTACACAGTCGATCGACTTCCTCATTGCATTCCATTCCTCAAGAACGGACTGTACATCTCTTACGAATATAATTAGTTACTTTAAGCCTGGTCGACATAGTGTCTAATTCTAGCACGCACAATACCCCCGATTACCTGTCTACGCACTACCGCATTTTGAAATCCAACGTCACGACAAGTTCCTTGCTCAAATTTGTTTGAAGGTTCTATGACCGGTCTGTGGTGGTTAATTGGCAATTAAAACTGTGCTATGGCTACCATTGAAACCTAAGCACATGACTCGGCTCATCATCATCAATATACGCTAGTTGAGGATGGGCAACGCACCTCAACTTATGTGCCGCATTATAAAGAGATAAGACACTAAAGAGTACAACTCACAAAAATGTTCAAAAAGCAAGCAATATAATCCGTTCCGTTTAGTTGAACAACTATGATCCCAACACCGAAGTACGTTTGTATAGCCACTGCGTCAGACGCAAGGAGAGCTGTCGTCCGCATACTCTGTGTTTGTCAGTCGGTTACCTGGCAGAACTTCCACTCCGGTAGAGTCTGAAAGAACCGAGTCACTCATGATCTTGTCGATAATAAAGTTGAGAAGGAGGTGTGATATAGGACAACTCTTGCAAGCCCCACTTGTCGTGGGGAACTCAGGAGACAGTTTCCCGGCCTCGAAAATCACAGTAGAGAGACTGCAAAATGGAAAGGAACTTAGCCTACTAGCACTTTATGGATAGGCAGTACCACAAGCTGGCGCGGTCAACAGAGTCGAAGGCCGCTTTCAAGATAAGGAAAACCACCATAGTCGGTCGTCTCTATGTGTGTCACCGCTCTAAAACTCTGGTCCATACAACCACGGCCAGGGTGGAAGCCAGCCTGGCTTCCAGTGATTCGGTCTTCATGGGGACCAGTAAGTCCTCGGAGAATGATACCCGTGAGAAGTTTAGATGCAACGGAAACAACACTAATGCCTCGGTGATTTTCGCACAAAGTACGCTGCCCTTCCTTGAAGATGGGCACGACACTTGACAGCCGCCGGTCTGGAGGCACTTCTGCAGTGTTCCAAATCGTGTTAAATAGAGAAGCGAGTCCAGTCACCACCATCTTTCAACAAAGATGGAGGAAGGTCGTCGGGTCTAGGAGCCTTGTGTCGTTTCAACACGGAAACCTCATGTCGAATCTCTTCCAAAGTGACAGGTATGACATCTACTTCCCACGTCGGCTCAGGCGATTCAGCAAATGGCAATGTCGCAGCAGAACTGCTCCTCAAAATGTTCCGCCCAACGGGCTAGTCGACGACACTGAGAATGGGTTAACTGTCCATCTTTCTCAGTTGTTGTCTCGCTAACTGATGACTTCCTAGGACCCTTGTTCCGGATGAGCTGCAACAGCACTCGACTGTTCACAGTAGTGCTGGTTTTCTCCATCTCAGGTTCCATGTCATCCACCAACATTCCCGGTAGATTCGAAGACTCCTTGTCAGGCGTCGTTGCAGGGAGCTACGGACACGCTGAAACCCAGTGCCCATCGGAACCCGTTTACGCGCTTCGATCAAGCTGATCGATGCCTCAAAGGTCCATTCGCAGCTATGACGTCTCATGTTGAGTGCACATCATATGTCATGGCACATTTGAGACGATCTCCGTCAGTGTTCAGTTCACTAACCTCTTTTATCACTGATAATTGTTGAACCACAGATTGCGAGTTCAAGTTAGGTGATGGGCGCTTCTTTGAAGCGGGGAGTGTGCGCGCCAAGCGTGCACGCATTAAAACATGGTCGGAATCCAGGCACGTGCTCCAAATTGACCGACAGTCTTGGACTGATAAGCGCCAACTGTAGCTGATGGGAATATGTCCAATTTGGATCCAGGACCTTGAGGAATTTGGTAGGCGCCAGGTGACGCGATGTGAAGGTTTGTGCTAGAAAACAGTGGTGCTAAGGTAAAGGTTGTGGTCGGCGCACAGTAGCAGGAATCGATCACCATTATCTGTTCGGCGTGCAGTGACTCCCAAGCGGTCGCCCAAGTATTGTTCAGAGTCCGAAGGCCGACCCACTTGATCACTGGTCACCAGCAACAGGCACGATGTTAGTATTCTTTGCCATGCGAATAAGGGACGAGAGGTGTTGATAGAAATCATCTTTAATGCCCTCTATACTGCATTCAGTAGGGACATAAGGTGAGGCGATGAAAAGGCACCTTGTCTTCATACGGTGTTTATTAATTCCAACAGAGGTGTGAAATCGAACCGCAAACATGCGGCTGTGCACTGGCGTCCAGTCGAACAGATTGTCTTTAGCATGTTTGCTGAGGACAATACCAACATCGTATATAGATTAAGCCATTAACTCATTACCGCCCTAGACGAAAACGGTGTAGCCATCGTCATCAGATTCAGAACCATGACGCTGTTATCTTGTATGCGTTTTCGGAGACAGCACACATCAATAGCAAGTATGTGAAGAGTGAGAGTTAGTGCCGCATGCTGGGCAATTTGACCTGTAGTGCGGACGCCAAATAACCCAATGTGAAATGAAAGTCCAGGCTTGATGGAAGAGCTACATGCATCGATAGCAGCAGAGGTCAGCGGCAGTCTCTTGTCCAGTAGACGGGACCTTTAAATCGTCCGTTTCATTTCCACTGCAACATCGCTCTTACTATATCTGCTGCGGATTTATCAGTTTCCACTTAGGTTTTTGACATTTTCTTTTGTTAGAGCAGTTACAACATCACTCGCTGTCCCTGCCTATTTTTGAAAATGCACTTTGAGATACTGCGCGAAGTTACCAGACGGCGTTTCGTAATTTAAAAATCCTCGTCCGGATGGAATTCCAAATCGGGGTCGCTTATTTCATTGATGCACACTTAATGCCATTTCATCCAGTTGTACAATTTCGCGTTTTCAGTGCTGTTTCTTTAAAGTATTACCCGCAGCGGATATATATATATATATATATATATATATATATATATATATATATATATATGAAGTCTGTATTAACTACAATTTAAGAAGAGAGGGAAGATGAAGGCGAAGCAGAAGAGGGAGTTTTGTCGACCTGGTCGGGAGTGCAGATGATACTCTCCGAATGCCAATTCCGAGGGAATGGTTTTGTTTGAAGTGCTGTGCCTCTAGCGTTTGACTCAAAAGTTTGATCCACTAGGTGGTGGGGTATATGAAGGTTCGCTTGAGGGACTCCACCCTTAACCTTTTGCTCAATAGCCTGAATCACAGGGCAGTGAGGAGCAAGTCCAGCTCTGGAGTGTGATTGCAGAGAGCCACTCTGATCTGCTTAAGTCCTGTCACGTACAGCGTTTGAAGATGTAGCGAAGTTCACAAGTGTTTTAGGACCGTGTTACTTTACGCGCCTGTGACAACGGCCAGGCGCAGGTGAGAGTTGGTAGATTTGCACCAACTCGACCAGGGGTTGACTGGCTTGAGGCGGGCAGTAGTAAACCATTGAGCACCGGAAGGTGCTCTACCACTGTCAGAGACAATGCGTGGCGCTGGTGCTCAATGCCAATCGAGCAGTGAGCCTATAGCCCGGAGACCTGTTATCTCTCATGGCTAGGTTTTACAGGAACAGGGCCATCGAATTCTCCCTAACCTCCGTAGATGATTGGATTGAAGACTGTGTTAGTCTGACCCCTAACCATTGACCTGTCTGGTATGAATGGCTCTGAAGACACGTGGAAGGTGCCAGTAGATGAAGTATTGCACTCTATAAGCCTAGTCTCACGCACGGCTTGATTCCCGGGACAAAAGGAGCAAAACTCGATGTAGCGAAAATCGTAAAAGTGTTTCTATTCCAGTAACTTTTAATGTACATAAATGCCGACTAGATTTTTAAACGTAGCTTCATTGTTGCTCAACTGTGAGCCGAAACTACTACATCAGTCTGTATTTCCGACCAGCGGTAAACGGGAGGCAGTGGTGAATTTGGGGCGGTGGTGAGGCGCACAGCGGCGGCCAGCACGTCAACGGTGTAGGTTGTGTTTATGAGCCACTGGGATGGTGTTTCGGTTAACCACATGATGCGAATAAACAGTCCTTACGGTCGTGCTTTATAATCCTCGTAGTTGTGCAGAAAGGGTATAACGAAGGCAACATAAAATATACACCTACGCTGACAAGTAGGGAACGAAGAATATTATTGCACATTTGCAATTTATTAATATGTAATTCACCCTACCCCGACGATTTCCAGCGTCTCTCCTAGAAAACACAATTGTCTGACATCCCTGCGCAGAACTCCTTTTGAAGTCCGAAACATCACTTCCCGTAGGAGTTATCCGCTCCCTTTTTGACGCTTTCCACAGTACCGTTTGAGCACATGCCCTTTGGGTTACGCGGATCAGAGACTCTGTATACCGCCTCTTCTTCAACTTTCGAAAGAACTCGAGCGCCTG